TTAGTGAAAACAGGTTTATTATCTCTATGTAGTGATTTTCTCTATCCTTTATAATGCTTTTATTATCTTAATGTTTTAGATATTAATATAACTACCTCAACTTTCTTTTGGATAGCATTTACATGGTATATCTTTTTCCATCTTTTTTATATTCAATCTTTTCTTGAATTTATGTTTTATATGTGTCCCTTGTAAATGGAAAATAGCTATATTCTTTTCTTTTATCCAGTCTGTTCATCTGTATTTTAAAGGGTGAGTTTTGCTTGAATATGTGTTTTGTATTCATTGATATATAAAATAAACTTCTTTTTACTATCTTACCTTTCGTTTTTCCTTTGTCTCAGTTTTTTCTACACTTTGCTTTTCATCCTTGCCTTTTAATTTTTGTTTATATTCTGTTTTCTTCTCCCCACTACTGATTCTGTAAGATCCTATCTCAGTGGGCTGGCTGATAATAGATTTATTGTTGGAAACAGCAGTAGCCTGCAGAAGAAGGTGAGGGTGTGAGTGGAATATAGCTGGGCTGAAAGGAATCAGATTGTTAAGTGATGAGAGAGAGGAAGCAGGGAGCTGATAGCATTCATTGTTTGTATACTTAGAAATTGTTTTTATAAGTATGAGGTCTGATGATGGGGCTAGAGAGAAAGGAAGTGGGAATGTGAGATAATTGAAGGCTTAAAATAAAACCCTGGGATGAACATTGTGGCTCAGTGGGTTAAGCCACCCTTTGGGACGTCCATGTCATATTGGAGTGCATGGGGTTGAGTCCTGCCTCTGCTTCCAGTCCAACTTTCTGCTAATGTGCAACCTGGGAGGCAGCAGATTATGGCTCAACTGCTTGCGTCCCTGACACCCAAGTGGGAGACCTGGATGGAGTTCCAGATTCTTGCCTTTGACCTGGTCCAATCCTGGCTGTTGCGCACATTTTGGGAGTTAACCAGCAGACAGAAGACCTGTATCTCTTACTCTCACTCTTGCTCTCGCTCTGCCTTTCAAATACATAAAAATAAATAAAATTAAAAGAATAAAATAAAACCTGAAGGTACTATGTAAGGGAACTTAATAAATGCAAGTAACATGATTTATGGGTAACAACAAGAATCCAGTTGAGATTGTAGACCAAGAGTTGTGTAGCATTGGAGTATGGGAGCAAATGAGGCAGGCTATAGCATTGGCACAAGTTTGGGTTTACTTGAACAGTGTAGCAGAGTGATGAGGGCACGTGAATATGAAAGACACTAATGAGAATGGTTCAAATGTTGAGCCATCTGGAGTCCAGGATGAATAGGAAGACAAGATAAATCAGCAGGAAGTGAGTAGACCAAGAGAAAATGGAAAGCTCAGGAGACCGTGGTCTTGATGAAGTTGAAGAACAGGTATAGTGGGACTGAGTTGTGGTTGGAAAGTGGGGATTCTTGAATTTAAGATTTCAGGAGGGTACAGTTCTGCTTGGTCATGTACATGAATGAAAAATAAAGGAAAGGTGTATAATGTTAGCAGTTCCATTTTCTTATGATACTCTTCATTTCCCTGAAATATTCTTAGTTCCCTGGATTTTGATATTACTTAGTCTTATGATTGTGCCAATGTGCCTTTCTCATCACAGGACTCTGCTGCCTCTCTGTAAGAGCCAGTTTTCTAACAAATCTGGTGGTGGTCTCATTTGCTGTGTGCCTGTGCTCTGCTTGGTGTTTTGCTGCCAGGCAACTAGTTGTATCTCTTTTATATAGGAACTGCTGATTTTCCAGTGCTTCATCCATAATTATACATTTAGGAATTCATTTCCACAGTACTTTGATTATTTAATATTTTACAGCTGCCCTAGCCATGATCCTGCCTAGACAGAGTCAGTAGAGTACCAGCTCTAGAATCAGATTGCCTAGGCTTCCCTCCCAGCAACTTCTCTTAGTTGCTATTTCTTCCGTTACGTTAGGCTAACCTCTCCTGAATCCTCATCAATACAATGGGGATAGTAATAGTCACTCACCCTCAGTGTTGTTGGGAGGATTAAGTTAATCATTATATATATGCAAAGTACTTATTTAGCGTGTAGTAATATGTGGCACTGTTGGAATGGTGATGACAGTGATGGTGTTCATCTATATTGGCAGCATATGTGGCACCATTTGCCAGATAATGTGTGTTAGGTGCTGGGCCAGAGATGATATTGAAAAGGTCCTTGTTTCCGTTGCAAGTATACAAGGGTACATCAAAAAGATCACAGGAAATAGTTAAAAGATAAGTTTATTTTGTGGTAAAAATATTGAAATCTGGCCGGCGCTGCGACTCACTAGGCTAATCCTCCGCCTAGTGGCGCCGGCACACCGGGTTCTAGTCCCGGTTGGGGCGCCGGATTCTGTCCTGGTTGCCCCTCTTCCAGGCCAGCTCTCTGCTGTGGCCAGGGAGTGCAGTGGAGGATGGCCCAGGTGCTTGGGCCCTGCACCCCATGGGAGACCAGGAAAAGCACCTGGCTCCTGGCTCCTGGCTCCTGCCATCGGATCAGCGCGGTGCGCCGGCCGCAGCGCGCCAGCCACGGTGGCCATTGGAGGGTGAACCAACGGCAAAGGAAGACCTTTCTCTCTGTCTCTCTCTCTCACTGTCCACTCTGCCTGTCAAAAAATAAAAAAAAAATTGAAATCTATTCATAGTTTTTTCAGTAACATGCATTTTCATGAACTTTTTGCAGGACCCTTATATATTTTCCTTGAGGATAAGAACTAAGAAGATTTCCTGAAGATTATCTAATAAAGGACCTATGAAACATGATTACCTTCTTATAGTTCAATAAAGACCAAGAAATAGTCAAGTTGAGAACACACTGCAGTTTTAAGAACCTGGAATGCTTTGCTATCCTCTTTGTGCTCTTTATTGTCTTTCTTGTATTTAGTAAAACAAAATTAAAAAAAAACTGAAAGGATGTTGTTTAGTTTCAAGGTAGAACATGGAAGGGGAATACAATCCCTGTTTCCTTTCTCACTTTGTCTACCCTAGTCTCTTTGACACCCATGACTACCAAATCTCTGTCTTCAAATACAGTTTCTCTTCCTGAGGCCCAGCCCTGTGTTTCCAGCTACTCCCTGAGCCTAATTATCTGGCTATTCTGCATGCAACATAAACTCAATGTGGCTAAAATTAGACCCCTTGCCTGCTCTTAAGGCTAATTCTTCTCTTCTATTTCTTGTTCCTTTGAGGGCTAAACATCTTTGACTTCACCTCTTCATCTTCTCCACTCAGTCACTCCATTATGTCAATTTTACTTTTCAAACCTATTCTGTGTTTGGTTTTGCTGCCTTGGCTCACACCTTTATCATTTTAGCAGACACAAAAAGTATTTGTAATTCAAGCATGTGTTCCAGACATTGTGATTGGCCCTTTAACACACATTATTTTTCTTGACGACTTTGTGAGGTAGATCATTTTGAGGATGAGAAACCATAGGGAACAGAAATAAGATCACTCATCCAAGTGATTAGTGGCACAGGTAGTAATCTAGGTTGTTTGTTGCTTGGACGATTGCCATAATCTCCTTGTGTCCCTCGAAATGTATTTTTTTGAAATATAAAAGGAAGACGTGTAAAAACAAATCAGAACTATATAAAATAAAAAGTGAAAATTGCCCCATCCTAATTCTGCCCAAAGAGATACCAATGGTATATAATAGTTTTTTTCCTAGGCCTTTCTCTTTGCCTATACAAATGTTAAAATAAATACTTTATGAAATACGTCATTTGACATATCTATTTTTTAAAGATTTATGTATTTATTTGAAAGAGTTACAGAGAGAGGGAGAGAGAGAGGGAGGGGAGAGAGAGAGATCAATCGATCAATTGATCAATCTTCCATCCATTGGTTAACATCCTAAATGGTCACAATGGCAAGGATTGGGCAAGGATTGGGCAAGGCTGAAGCCAGGAACCAGGAATCCCATCCAGGTCTCCTAAATGGGTGGCAGGGGCCCAAGCTTGTGAGCCATCATGTACTGCTATTTCTGGCATTGCAGGTGGCAGCTTAACCTCTGAGCAATAACGCTGGCCCCTCTTAGATATTTTTAAAGATCTTTTGTTTATTTATTTAAAATGCAGAGCATCAGAGAGAGAGAGAGAGAGAGAGAGAATGAATATGAATCTTTCATCCTCCAGTTTACTCCCCAAACGGCTGTAACAGTCAGAACTGGGCCAGGCCAAAGTCAGGAGCCTTGAATTCCATCTGGGCCTACCATGTGAGTGGCAGGGGCCCAATCACTTGGGCCATCTTGTGATGCTTTCCTAGGGGCATTAACAGACTGCTGGACCAGAAATGGAGCATCCGGGACTTGAACTGGTGCTCATATGTGATGTCAGTGGCACAGGTGGTGGCCTAACCCACTGTGCTGGGAACTGTGTCTTAATAAGCTCTGTATTCAAAGAACTTTGCACAATACCTTTCATTTAATGGGGCTTGACAAATGTTTATGAAATGGGGCAGACTTTCTTGAGGTAGTGTGAGTGCAATAAAAACTTTGTGGCGCAGTAGGTGGTGAAAATTTTTGAAGTATAGTGGAAAGCTGACTGAATCCTGGGAGCATGGAAGCTGATCAGGAATGAGAAGTAGACCTAAATTGACAAGAGTTCTCCTGTGCTTTTCCCTTCTCCTACAGAGACCAGCTTCTTGATTATTTAGGTTAATAGACTTAGGAGTTGAGCATATTTAAAGAAATAAAAATTGGATGGTTGAGGATGCATTTAGTGGAGGGGGAGTTTGACTGAATTGTTCTTTGCTCTTTCCAGAATAAGATGCTTATAATGAAAGATCCAGTCCTTTCCCAGAGTCATAAATAGATTTTTTCTTCTTGAAAAATAAAAACCTTTTCATTTTCAGGGTATGATTCAAGTGAAGTCGGAATGCAAATACGTCTGATACTTCTAGTTTGTTTCTTTAGCCTATAGTCTACTGGAAGGTTCTAGGGCTGTGAGCCTGTTCTGGAGTAAGTCATTTGTGTGAAATTAGTTCTCTCGTTTCAGGCAACTCTGGTGCTCTCCCTGTCTGGTTGCTTTGAAGAAAGAAGAGTGAACAACAACAACAACAAACAGAATAAGTCATGTCAGAGATACTAGACCTGTCTTTTCTGTCTGAGATGGAAAGGGATTTGATCCTCAGTGTTCTACAGCGAGATGAGGAGCTCCGAAAAGCAGATGAGAAAAGGATTAGGTAAGAGTATCAGAAAAAGCATGGGGGCCTCAGGCCTTTCACCAATGATAGTTGGATTTTTCCTTACGCTACCCATCTGACTTTCAGAACCTGTATATACAACACTTACAACTCCTCATTGGGTCAGGTTGGAGCTCTGAGTTTGTTGCTTTAACAGAACCAAATAGTCTTACTCCGTTTACCCCTCAAACCCTACCCAGACAACCTGTGCAGATCCTGACCCACTTATGCTTCTCTTTTGGGTCTTGGCAGGCGACTGAAGAATGAGTTACTGGAGATAAAAAGGAAGGGGGCCAAGAGAGGCAGCCAACACTACAGTGATAGGACCTGCGCTCGGTGCCAGGAGAGCCTGGGCCGTTTGACTCCCAAGACCAACACTTGTCGGGGTTGTAATCACCTGGTGTGTCGGGACTGCCGCATCCAGGAAAGCAATGGTACCTGGAGGTGCAAGGTGTGCACCAAGGAAATGTGAGTGTCACGGATGGCTGACTAGAGATAGGACATGAGACCTCAGCTGTGATGAGAATTTCTCCCCTCAGCCTTTGTTGGTAGAATGACAAGAGCCATTCTTTATGCATTTGCTATTTTCTTTTATACCTTCCCAGCGAGCTGAAGAAAGCAACTGGAGACTGGTTTTATGACCAGAAAGTGAATCGTTTTGCTTACCGCACAGGCAGTGAGATAATCAGGATGTCCCTGCGTCGCAAACCTACAGGTACAAGGCCTGTCTAGAGATGGTTCCCAGCAGGGCTTAACCGTGATGCTGGATCCTCTGGTGTGGAATCTTAGTGTATCCCTGGGGGTGCCCTAACTCCATAGGCTCAGTGGCTCAAGGGGAATGTAAATGATTGTTTTACACATGTGTGGTGTGTCTCAGGGGAGATGTTATGAGGGTTGTTTCCCCTCCCTGCTGTCATCACCACCACCCCATCATGCTTTTGTTTCTGTTGAAGTGAATAAAAGAGAGACAGTGGAGCAGTCTGTCCATCAGACACAAATGAGTGATGTCTGGCCAGGAAGAAAGATCATTCAGGAGCAACAGAAGGAGCCCAGGTAAGAGCTGACTGTTTAAAGAAATGCCACTGCATCCTTTTAATTCTCTTATTATTGTTTTTACTTTCTTCTGTTTATAAAATGATAGATGTTCATTATGGAAAAACTTGAAAAGGACAGAAAGGAGTAAATAAGAATGAAACAGTTATTGCAAATCTCACTACCCACGTGTAAACTTTAACATTTTGGCTTATACTTGTTCTTTATAAGAATAATTTGAAGAGAAAGAAAAAGAACACAGACTCAATATTAAAACTTTGACCAATATAGGAAACAAGAAAGAAGAAAGCAACAAATCTCTAATTTCTACTGTTCCAGGTTTCACATGATATGAAAATCATTTCAGATGTCTGCTATGTGTATAAACAGAGAATGACTGGGTAGAGAGGCTGAAAAAATGTATATTGGTTTATAATATAATAAAAATCATTCTGTTAAATTTTGTTTTAATTTAACAAAGCACTGAAATAAAAAGGAAGAATTGCTAATCTTCAGAAAAATGTTTCTTTACTATCAAAGATACTAGTTATTAACATCCCTCTAAACATAAAAAAATTGAGTAGTTATTTTTAGGGTATTTTTTGGTAACAGCCTTATTGAGAGGTAATTCACATACCATACAGTTCATCCATTTGTGGTATAAAATGTAATGAGTGTTAGTGTATTCACAGAGTTGTATACTTACCACTTGTATTAATTTTAGAACATTTTCATCACCTTAGAAAGAAACCCTGTACCTTTTGGCAATCACTTTCTCCAAACCCTTTCACAACCCTAAGAAATCACTGATCTACTTATTTTCTTTTTTTTTTAAAGATTTATTTTATTTATTTGAAAGTCAGAGTTACACAGAGGAGAGGCAGAGAGAGAGAGAGAGAGAGGAAGAGAGAGAAAGAGAGAGAGGTCTTCCATCCGTTGGTTCACTCCCCAGATGGCCGCAATGGCTGGAGTTGCTCCAATCCGAAGCCAAGAGCCAAGAGCTTCTTCCAGGTCTCCCACGCAGGTGCAGGGGCCCAAGGACTTGGGCCATCTTCTGCTACCCCAGGCCATAGCAGAGAGCTGGATCAGAAGAGGAGCAGCTGGGATCAGAACCGGCGCCCATATGGGATGCCAGCACTTCAGGCGAGGGCTTTACCCCACTGCGCCACAGTGACAGCCCCTGATCTACTTATTTTCAAAAAGTTCATGAAAATGCATTTCATACTTTTTACAGCAAAATAAACTCATCTTTTATTTATTTTTTAAAGATTTATTTTATTTATTTGAAAGTCAGAGAGAAAGTTACACAGAGAGAGGAGAGAGAGAGAGAGGTCTTCCATCCGCTGGTTGGCCGCAACCAGCTGCCAATTGGCTGCAACAGCTGGACTGTGCAACAGCAGAGAGCTGGATTGGAGGTGGAACAGCCGGGACTCGAACTGGAGCCCATATGGGATGCTGGCACTGCAGGCAGCAGCTTAACCTGCTACACCACAGCGCCGGCCCCAAACTTATATTTTAATTCCATCATTTCATGGACTTTTTGAAGTATTTTTGTATTTGCCTATCCTAGATATTTCATGTAAACAGAACATGCGATGTATGGTCCTCTGTGATTGGCTTCTTTCACCTAGCATAATGTTTTCAAGGTTTATCTTTTTTATTAAAGATTTATTTATTTGAAAGGCAGAGTGAGAGTGAGGGGAGAGGTAGAGTGCCACAATGCCTGCCCCAGTTAGTCAGTTTTTAAACTATCAGTATTAAACATTATCAGTGGACTGTGCTACGAAAGAGGAAGTGGTTAGCTTTTTTATACTTTATCCCACTCCTTTTTCCCTATTCATAATATTTGCTACTCAAATTTATTTTATGAAGGTTCATAACATTTACATTCTGTTATATAACTGTAAATGATCAACTTTTTTTTAACCTGTGTAGTTTTGGTTGCATGTTTAAAAGGATTAGAAATTTACAACCAGACCTTGTACCATGGCTTCTCTACTCCTGAATTCTTAGATTTATTTCTCTGTTGTGTGTATTTCACCACTGAGAAGTTCTTTCAAGAATGGCTTGCAATATGCATTGCATTCTTTCATTTTAGGAACATCTGCCAAGTGCCTTTTTATACTTGAACAGTATCTTGGCTGCATATTATATTCTTGGGTCACATTTTCTTTCTTTCAGAATGTTGTAGACATTGCTCCATTGTCCTCTGCCACTGAGTGTAACTGTGAATATGTCTGAGGCCAGTTTGACTCCTGTTTTTCTCTCTTGTAGGTAATTTTGAGTGAGAGTGAGTGTGTGTGTGTGTGTGTGTGTGTGAGAGAGAGAGAGAGAGAGAGAGAATTTGCCTGAAAAATTCCTTTTCTTTTTCTTTGAAGTTTAGTAGCTTAACAAGAATATAATTCAGTGGTGATCATTCTGTATCATTCTGTATCGGTTTTTTTTTTCTGATATATGGGTTACCCCTGATGAATTCTTTCCTCATTGCTAGAAAACTTTCCTATATCATATCTGTGAATTATTTTTTCCCCATTAGTTAAGCTCTCTACCTCAGGGATATTGGATTTCCTTATCCTCTATTTCTGTCCTTTTCTTTTACTGTTTAATGCAATAGAAAAAGAGAACGATGATTGAACTTAACAATGATTAGCACAACCTGTTCCTCTGTGTAGCTAGTTTGGTTTTAGCCATTTTCTTTCTTTCTCTGCCCCCACTTCTCACCCTTTCTCCCTTCCTTTTTACTATTTCTGATTTAATTATTTGAATGAATTATCTTTTTCAGTTATAACTTTTTCTTTGTTCTCAGTCTTGCTTTTTTCTCTTATTGTTTTATCATCTAATGTTGAAGGTCTTGTCATTTATCAAATTTATATTCTTATTAAGTTCCCTTGTAGTATAAAGCATTCACAAGAAAGCCACTTACTTCTAAGGTTATATTCTTTTCCAGAAT